GGTACTATTTTTTAAAATAAACATATCTTAAAAACTTTCCATGGTTAAAATATTACATAATAATATGTGTCTCAGTTTACAGATTTGTCCACCATGTGTTTTAAAACTTTGTGTGAATCAAGTGTGAAATATTCTGGCTCTCTGCCTTCCCCCTATAGGAAAACTAAAAATTTGCTTTAAGCGAGTAAGTGAATATGGTAAATGCTGGATAATTAACATTCATGCTAGTGACTTCTGTTTACTAAAGGTAGTGCAACATTTCAAGATATATAAAGTATATCTCTAAGCCACATGAGAGAAAGTACTTAAGTAGTAATAGTAATGTCATCTTATTTCCTTAAGATTTCATTATATCCACAATCAGATGAACAGGGCATACTCTAGTTAATACTAAAGTCCAGAGCCCTATGAGCAACCCATGATACTGGATACCCTACAATGCTGATCCATTGCATTAAAAACCTCTATGCCAATGTGGCAGCTCTGATAAATGGTATGTCGAAGATGTGAAAGCCCATTCTTTGAAAGCAATAAAGAGAGCCACAGAGCCATACAGAGAACCAGAAGAAAATGCAGAACACCCACAGGAGTGAAAAACCACCAGAGATGGGCAAGTGAAAGATTTGGTCCTTGAAGGAAGGCCAAGGAACTGTTTGGAAAGCCCATATGCTAAAGCACCGAAAACTGGAAGAACAGTATAAATCTCTTGTTTGTGTCTGCAGAAGTTAATACCAGCCCAAAATGTGATTTCATCAGTCCTCATGAATACAACAGGATGAAAATTAGTCAAAACTCAAAATACATGCTATCATATATAACATCATCTGTGACATTTCATGCCAAAAAGAAACATTGCGTACCTATTATCCCAAGTAATCTCCCTTCTGGTTTTCATTAACAAAACTTTTATTTACTTTATACACAACTTCAAATAAAGTCTCTTCAGTAACACTTCAGGACACTGAAACAGTGCTTAACCTCTACCTAAATAACTACTACTTTCAGGCAGTGGCTACCAAATACCAGTCCCACGGAATTCTGCCAATCCAAGATGACTCTAGCAGTCTGCAACAAAACTGCAAAAAATTAATACCGTGAACTAGCCGTATTATATTTAATGAACAGTCCTTAATTTTTAAATTAAGTCTTTATTCTTATTTAGCTATTACACTTACTTTCTTTTTCAAGGTGAATTTAAGATGATAAGAGATATTTATTTGAATATTAGTAGGGAACCCACCCTGTCTTGGAATTACTTTGTTTTGGACAAAGGTTGGCACTGCACTTCATTAAATAAGAGTGTTCCTTGGCCTTGTCAACCACGGCACAATGTAGTTCAAGATTCTGCCCAAGATGGGTGTTATGGCTGTGTGCTTGTTCATTCCTGGCATAGCCACTATGCACATCCACAGGTTCACTGATGGGGGTAAGGAAGAAAGGGTTGCCCATTATTCATATTATTGGAGTCTGACAGAAAGAGATAAGGCCTCTCTAGAATTCATCATTACTATGTGTCAAAGGACTTGGAGAACATCGATTAAGGAAGCATTTTCTTGGTTAATGAAAAATAACTTCTTTATGCTCATCTACCCCTTCTAGAAGGTTATGCAATAATGTAGTGCATAATAAAAACAACAAAAACAATTTTTAAGTGTTTCTTAAATTAGCTAGTTCTATTTTCCAATGTCCATGTCCTTTGTATATTACTGCTATCATGCAAAGGAGATCCCCTTCACATTTACTAAACAATGTGTTCAAATGAAGAAAAAACAAATCAGGGAGGTCCCTTTACACTCTGAAAAATTCCAACTAAGTAGCTGCATAACAGTATGCATCACACTGTTTAAAACAATAAAAGTAAAATCAACAACAAAAGTATATTCCACTTCTGGGACGCCTGGGTGACTCAGTCGGTTAAGCTTCTGCCTTTGGCTCAGGTCATGACCCGTGGTCCTGGGATTGAGTCCCAATAGGGCTCCCTGCTCAGTGGGAAGCCTGCTTCTCCCTCTCCCCCATTTGTGCTCTCTCTCCCTCTCTCTAACAAATAAATCTTTAAAAAATACATATATTTCACTTCTACAGAAATACTGAGACAAAATACGCAAATAACAAAAAGTCTCCTAAGAAGTTACTGTTTAAATAAGTGTGTAAGTACAACTTACTTGCTACATTTTAAAATAATTCTTTATTAACTCTAAAAATAACTGGCCAGAAAACAGAAAAGTAAATTTAATACATGAACAAGAAGGTAGAGCACCCTAAATGCAAATGCATGTTCCAGCTACAGACCTGCCAAATGGACAAAGGTCTGGGTCCACAACTGTGATTGAACCTCACTTAATTTTGGTTTCCTCATGGATAAAATGAGGATAATACAATCTCCTTCACAGGCTTGTTTTAAGATTAAATGATGTAACATAGTAGAAAATATTTAACAGACCTGATACATAGTAGGCATTCAACATTTGCTTTCCATTCCCCAGTGCTATATTAGCACACTCAACAAGCACATGCCACATAAAAATTTGGGGTTATAACTTTTTTTTAAATCTCAGAATCTGGGAAACAGATTCTAAAAGAATTGACCTATAACTAGATTTCTCCGTTATTATATTCAACTTTGGAGTTATTAAAAAGTGTCTAGTCTATTCAACATTACCATCTGCTAACCTACTGCCCACTTAGAATAATTTAAAATATATACATACTCACAAAGCACTAGCTCAGATTAGAGGATATTCTATTCACTAACAATTGTAACACTTGCAAGAAATGTAACACAATCCTACATGAAAATGTCCTTCTTGAGACTATAAACATTCTAAAAAAGATGCTACACACAACAGTTGTTTATTGTAATAACAATAAATAAATGAAAACAATATGAGTATTTCCTGCCATTGTCTTCCATTAGAAAGAAAGGTATAAAACAAGAGAGAAAAAAAGACAGCATGCAGGCAAGAGAGAGCTTATATCCAATAAAAACAGGATATATCATGCTAGAAGTTACAGTCCATGAAATGACTTATGAACTTAATTCAAAAGTATCTTTGCATTTATTCATCCATAACCACTCTTAAAACAACCCAGCAAATGATACATATAAAAGTCTCTTACTAGAATGATTCCTCTACTATGAAATAATTTAAGGAGCAGAAATGAGAGGAGGAAAATAAATATCTACAATAGACTTTTTTTAAATAGGCAAATGCTATTTTAATTAAGACTAAATTCACTGCCCCTGTGGTGATTAATTTTATATGTCAATAGGGCTAGGCCACAATAACCAGATTTGGTCAAATATTATTCTAGATGTTTCCGAGAAGGTAGTTTTTACATAAGATTAATATTTAAATCAGTAAAGTTTGAGTTAAGCAGATTATGCTCCGTAATGTGAGTGTGCCTCATCCAATCAGTTGAAAGCCTTAACAGGAAAAAAAGCTGACCTCCTTGGAGGAAGAGACAATTCCATCTTTGCACTGGAATTGCAACTCTTCCTCAGTGTCTAGATTCTGGACTTGCCAGTCTTGACAGTCATGTGAGCCAATTTCTTAAAATCTCAATCTCAACCTCTCTCGCTCTCCCTCTCTCTCTCTTTCTCTCTCCATACAACCACACACATATATACCCCACATCATACTGGTTTTGTTTCTCTGGAGAACCCTAACTAATATGACCCCCATACCATTAAATTTATCCCTCAATAAATGATCTCATCACCAACTGCATATAATCACCTTATCCTTCCTTTTTGCCTTATTTTTTTTTATAAAGTGATACCTAAATAAATGAATCTTGTAAGAACAAAAACAACCTTCTTAATCATACTAATGTTAGCAGGGTTGATAAGGAGTGGAAAATCTTTCAAAAATTGCAAACCCAACTCAGCAGGTAGGTGAATGCCTTCCACGAACACATCTTCTCGTGGGGTTTCCACAGGTCTATATGCACCTGAACTACAAATGACTAATCATCAGGAAAACTGAAGTCAACAAAGTTTCCCTTTACCATAGCAGCTTACCCTCTTTGTGGCTCCCACTCTTGCTCAGCACCTGTCAACACAACAGTTCTCTAATTCTCATGCTGGCTTGACTATGGTATTGAGTCCCTCTAGTGATATTATCATTTCACTTTTTGCATCTTTCAACTCCAGAATTTCCATTAGGGAGGGGCTCTATTTGTTGAGTCACTGTTACCAAACTTTCTTTAATTTTAGAAACACAACTCATTTACTTCTTAGAACATATTTTAAATCCTTATCTGTAAAATTTAACATCGAGAGACTAACAGAACAGTTTCTCCTGCCTCCCTTTTTTCCTCAACGTGCCACACTTTCTTGTTTCTTGGAATATGTCCTAACTTTATGTTGAAAACTCGACATTAAAATTATATAAATATAATATGGTGTAACAACTCTGTAAATCTGTCTTCCTCTACAATGTGCAGCTACTAATATCTCTGCTCAGTTTTACTTTATTTCTTATTATTTTAAAGCCTGGTTTCCTAGGGTTGCCCCATGTCTATGCAGCTCAGTGGTTAGTCAATGATTCAACAGAGAATTTACTCAAATACTCAATAAAGGCTGTCATCCTTTCCAAAAGGATCTGTGTGTGGGTAGGGTGCCACATTCAACATTCAGAACAGTTTCAAGGCTCCCCAGATTTTAGTTTGGTCTCCATAAAAGTTACTAAGATAAAAAACACATAAACTAAAAAACATTTTTCTTAATGATGCTAATCTTTTATTTCAAGACTGAATTCTGATCTATTGCTTGTTTTCTTTTGTCTCTTGCTATCACCTTGCATATGAGAAAACAGTAAACAGAGAAATAACAAGGCCAGAGCCACAGGAAACCCTAAATATGTTTTTAATTCCTTTCTCTTCTCTCTTGTAAAAGCATTGTCTTATGGTAAGAAAGATTTTAAGATACCAAAATTCACTCTCTGAAATAACAATACAAATTTTTAATAGTGGTTCAAAGAATTTTTTAATTTCCTTACCCAGAAGATCCAGTGCTCTTACAAACACCAAGGAGAGGCCTTTTTTCAGCAAAGTTATCACACTTTTGAGTACCTGAGAAGGAACATAAAATAAAACTTTGAGAAGGATTCTTTAATATTTTCCATTATTTTCATGCTCTCAAAATATTTGCAGCTAAAGAGATAGCAAAACATTCATTACAAACTGACATAATACACTTGAATGAACAAAAACAGAACAGCTTTAAATAAACCTGTAACTATTTTTAAAATTGAACCAGCATTTAAAATATCTTTTTAAAAAATTGGCACCAACTTCAATCTTACACACATTCTCCATGAGATCAGAAACCACCCCCAACTCCACCAACTAATTACCTAAGACTAGTATAATTTTCATGTCAAAAGTAAATAAAGGGAAGTAAGGACAGAAAAATTATAAAATTATAGGTCATTATCAATATACATAAATGCAAAAATCCTTTTAAAAATAGTAAACTGAATAGCAATATATTAGAAAAAAACATCTCATAACAAAGTTGGATTTACCCAAGTAATAATTTCACATTACAAAACCTACTAATGTAATTCATTATATTAGCATTTCAACAAATGCCAAAAAGCATTTGATTCTATACCTAGTCATGATAAGAACAAAAGAAAACAACAAGAATAAGTTTTCCCAATGATTATTTACAAAAGATTCTATAACAAAATTGTAGGCAATGCTTTAGAGCATTCCCATGAAAATCAGTAATAACACAAGGATACCCAATTAACTATTCTTATTCAACCCTATACTCAAGTCCTAGACAGGATAATGACAATAAATGAACTCAACAATATTACTGGATATAAAACCAATATAGTAGCAACAAGCAGAAGAATAAAGTCAGGAAATACAAAAAGGCTCAGAACCACATAAAAAGATACTCAACCTCACACGTAAGAGAAATTCCACTTAAAACTAGAAATTCTACTTAGAACTATATTGAAAAACTATACTGAAATTTGCTAACTTTTTAGAAGTGAAAATGGTACTATGGTTATAATTTTAAGATTATCTTTTGGAAATAAATAATAAAATATTAACCAATAGGCTAGTATGATATCTGGGAGGGAATAGTTCATAACATTCTGGATGAAGGAGAACAGATGCTAATGAAATAAGATTAGCCATAAAATGATGGGTAATAGGTTCTTAGAGATTGTTATATTGTTTTTACTACTTCTAATAAGTTAGAAATTCTCCATTAAAAAACTTTTAATTATATTGACAGACACTGACCTTTACATAAGACCTTCTCAAAAAAATCCAAAAGTTCTGTAAAATTCTCTGGCCATATCAATCAAAATTCTAAATGCAAATAGCCTTTAACAGAGAAATATCACTGCTAAGATTTCACCCTACACATATACTCAGCCATGAGAAAAATAACTTGAATACAAAATTATTCACTATAGCATTGTTTGTAACAGCAGAAGACTAATAAGGTCCAAATATATAATGAAGTATTTCCTACACCTATAAAAAAAAATGTATACTCTATGAAAATATGAAATGAAATCCAAAATATAAAGTGGAAAAATATATACACAAAAATAGAAAAATACAGAATACTATTCCCATCTTTTGTAAAACATAGAGAAAGAAAGACTTATTTGCATATATACATACCTACATACACTCTCTAAGGATACATAAAAAATCCTAACTAATGGTCACCTATGGGAGGGAAAATGGGAAAAGCAAAAGACAGGGAACAAATATGTGGAAAAAAAGTTTTCATTGTCCATATACTTTGTACTTTTTAGTTTTCAAACCATATGAATATTATTAATTTCCCCGAAAATTCTGCTTTGTTTTTAAATAAGGAGACAAATGCCAGAAGAGACAAGTAAGTGGTTTCATCTCTGAGACAAGCTAGTAGACTGAAGACACACATTTCATTTTATCCCTTCTGAAAATTCCAGTTAAAGTACATTAAATCAAACAGGGTTGAAAACTATATAATAAAATTTATGGGCAACAAATTTTGGAAACAGATGAGTAATGACTAACTTAGCAGCCCTAAGTAAAAGTTCAAGCTAGTGCTGGGGAAAAAAAATAACATCTGAGACTCAAATGACTTGACAACTGATTACATTAGGTACACCTGAGATTTATCCTGATACAGTTAGGAGATTGTAAAGGAGCTTGTGAGCTTTCTCCGGAGAATTTAACAAGTCAGTCCATGAAGAAAGACCAAAAGACACTGTCAATCAGAAGGCTCCAACAAAGAGCACAACCAAAGCACCAAACAATAAATTAAAAATTGACAAACAAAACACAGAACTTTTGATCAGGTTTTTAGTTTGCCACTTACAAATATGTGCAAACAAGGAAAACAATCATCCGCAAGTGGCTAACTCTATACAGGAAGAAAAACATTATACACACACACACACACACACCACTAATAATTTGTAAGATACAAGAAAAGATATTTTAGGCATGGAACAATACAAGAATGCAATGAAAAATGGACTCTTGGAGAATAAAAGGGAGCTCCTAGAAATTAAAAAAACAAGGTAGATTATTTAATAAACTCAACACAAGGGTCAAAGGTAAAATTAAGAAAATTTCTCAAAGAGTAAAAACACAAAAACTAGAGGAAAACAGCATTAATCTACACACACATACAATATGTTACAGGTGTTCCTCAAAAGTCCAATTTATAGATAGGAGAAAAGGGGGGAAAAAAAGAGAAAATAGAGAGGAAGAAATCATCTATGAAATATTCCAAAAATTTTCCCCAGAACAAAGAATATAACTTTATAAGCCCTTTGAAGGTCTAGAACAATAGATTCAACAAACCAACCCCAATGTGCATCGTTTCAGGATAGTGGTAACAAGAAGTTTCTACAAGTCTCCATGGAGAAAAAAACAGGCTATTTACAGAATCAGGAATTCCAATGGCTGCTCTAGGTATTACATAATATCACTATTATGTCAACGTACAACTAACATCAGATAGACAGAATGCTTTCCCCCTGGGGTCAAGAACAAGGTAAGAATATCCACACTCATCACTGCTATTTAACATACTACTGGAAGTTCTAGCCTAAGCAATAAGACAAGAAAGAAACAAAAAAGGTATACAGATAAGAAAGAAAGAAAGAAAATCCCTAGGTACTGATAATATGACTGATACATAGAATCAACAACCTAAACCAAAACCAAAACAAACAAACAAACAAAAACCCTAAAGCTAATAAGTGAGTTAGTCCAGCAAGGTCACAGGAGACAAGAGCAACATACAAAAATCAACTGTGTTTCTTTTTTTAAGATTTTATTTATTTGAGAGAGAGAGAGAACACGAGCAGGGGGTGGGGAGAGGCAGAGGGAGAGGGAGAAGCAGACTCCCTGCTGAGCAGGGGGCCCAATGACACAGGGCCTGATCCCAGGACCCTGAGATCATAACCTGAGCTGAAGGCAGACACTTAACTGAATGAGCCACCCAGGTGCCCCAAAAATCAAATGTATTTCTATATACTAGCAATGAATGTATGAAAAATGAGATTAAAGGTACAATAACAATTTGTATACCTGAAATTAATATTACACTGTTATTACACCAACTGGAATTTAAAACTTTTTTTAAAAAGTAAAATAACATTTATAATTGTTCAAAAGAAAATTAAATAAATAAATCTAACAAAACATGTATAGGACATATACTGAAAACTGCAAAATGCTGATAAAAGAAATGAAAGAGAATCCAAATAAATGGAGATACATAATTGATATGATACACAGATCAAGGAAACAGAAGAGTACCCATAAAAAGATCCACACAAATATGGCCAACTAATTTTTATAAAGGTATAACAGCAATTAAATGGAGGAAGAACAGTCTTTTCAACAAGTAGTTCTGGAGCAACTGGACATCCATAGGAAAAAAATAAAACTGGACCTAAACCCTACACCTTATCCAAAATTAACTCAAAATAGATCATAGATTTATATGTAAAGCTATGTAACTTTTAGAAGAAAACCTGCAGGACTTAGGGTTTGGTGAAGAGGTCTCAGACACACACAACATCAAAAAGTATGATGCAGGGGCACCTGGGTGGCTCAGGCAGTGGCTCAGGTCATGATCCCAGGGTCCTGGGATTGAGCCCCGCATCAGGCTCCTTGCTCAGTAGAGAGCCTGCTTCTCCTTCTCCCTCTGCCTGCCTGCCACTCCCCCAGCTTATGCTCTCTCTCTCTCTCTCTCTCTGTCAAATAAATAAATAAAATCTTAAAAAAAAAAAAAGTATGATGCATAGGGCCAAAAAAAAAAAAAATCAATAAACCGGATTTAATTAAAATATTTAAAAATAAGCAAAAAAATTAATAATAAAATAAAAAGCTACACATTGGGGGAAAAAACACTTACAAAAAACCCATGTCTAACAAAAAACTCATACCCAGAAAATATAAACTCAAACACAACACTGAAAAAACATACAATCCAATTAGAAACTCGTCAAAAGACATAGAGATACTACACTGAAAAGAAGATATGGATGGCAAATAAGACAGATGAAAAGATTGTCAATATTACCAGCCATCAAGAAAATGGAAATTAAGACCAAAATGAGATGTAATTATATACCAATTAGAATAACTAAAAGAGGAAATCATGATAATAACAAGTGTTGGCAAAGATGCAAAGAAACTAAATCTTTCATACATTCCTGGAAATGTAAAATAGTATAACCCCTCTAGAAAAAAGTTTGATGTTTTCTTTAAAAACAGCAGCAGGGGCACCTGGGTGGCTCAGTTGGTGAAGAGTCTGCCTTTGGCTCAGGTCATGATCCCAGGGTCCCAGACCAAGCCCTACATTTGGCTCCCTGCTCAGCAGGGAGTCAGCTTCTCCTGTTCCCTTTGCCCTCCTTCCCGCTCATTCTTTCTCTCGCTCAAATAAATAATCTTAAAAAACAAAAAACAAAAAAAAACCAGCAACAACAACTAAACATATACTGACCATTCATCCGAGCAATCACAGTACTGGGCATTTATCCCACAGAACTAAAAACTTATATCCACACAAACCTGTACACAAATTT